TTGAAGCTTGTAATTCTTATATAGCTATATTTATTTTCGCAAAACTTGCACTGTGCTTGAAAATTCGGCAGTTTTATATAATATTGCCATATATGCTTTTTAGTTACAATCTTTCCTGACATTGTGTCCATCTGATTTGACTAAACGCGTGTAACTGAATATGATACAAGAACCTTTCTGCCGAAAAATATAAAAGAGGACGAGAGAAGGCGTATAGTTTTTCACGTAAATGTAAATATTGATACGTCGGACGACATCTAACTAATAATTCTCAAAACACGTTGTAGCATCTCATGTCAAGTATGTAAGAAAATAACAGCGAAGGAATGTTACAGCGCATTCTGCATATACACGAATATACGATTGTGTGAGAAATAATGCACAAACAATATTGCCTATGTAGCAAATAAATTATTAATTATTGGTTTAAATTTCCTATTACATCATTTTATTCTTATTTGCTCAATAATAACAGTTTTTAATGCTTTAGATTTAATCTAAAGTACTACTATTAGAATGAATATTATTTAGTATTCTATATGTTTGAATATTTTTGTTATAACGCAAGTTGATCGAGTTATTTGTCTGCGTACAAACGTAATTTTGGCGTTGCTTAATAGTGTAGGATATCCTACACTATTAAGTGAAGACAATGATTATGATAGATTTTATGAGAGAAATCTTTTTTAAATGCAACTTAACTGACCTTCTCAAGATATGAACCGTTAAAGAATGCAACTAACAAATAATTTTATTAAATCAGTCACATCAGAACGCATTATTGCACTATTTACTTTTTTAAGTACAAGAAACTATTTTCTATAACTAAGAATTGTTTGTTATAAAAGGATCAATGTCGTTTGGTTTCTTTTTCAAATGTAATAGACTGCTAATCTAAATTACAAAATTACGTTACAGATTTGCTACGTAAAATAGTATATATTTAAAAAGTAATTATTACAAGCATTAAAATTTTTATTCTTTAAAGCAAATTTTTCATAAAACATATGTAATTGATAATAACATGTTTGAACTTTTAAAAATATTTGAAATAAAATCAAAATTAAATTACTTTGGGAATTGTTAATAATTATAAAAACTATAAATATTTCGATAATTCTCTTAAATTTGCTAAGTATCTGTAACATTTTAAGAGCATAATGTTACTCAAATAATGCAAAATGCCACGTGACTGACGAAAAAATAAAAAATTTCTACAATATTCTATCTTCATATAATAAAATTACACACTTTCTTATGATGAATTTATTTGTACATTATGATGAATTCTTCATGTATTACATAAACATTTCTAGAACAAATTTTAACATTTTTTAATTGATCAATTTCACCGATAATTAATATAATGCATTTCGGAGACTTTTACATAAATTACAATAAATCATTTTATATAAAGTAAAAAAATAACAAAAGTATATAAAAAAATTTAAGCAGGTGTAAAAATAAATAAGAAAGTATATAAAAATTAAATATTTGAAAAAAATTATAGTATAAATTGTCGATATTTTTCTCTTTACAGAGAAGTCAATGATTATTTCATTAAATTGTTTTAGTAAATAAAATTAAGAATATAATTTATAAATTAAGAACACACAAAATGAAATTATAGTTATAATTATAGTGATTATATAATAATTATAGTTATAATTTACAAAAATGTTGTTTTCCATAAAATGTAGATTTATAATCATATTCATAATTTAATAAACATTATTTTTATAAACATTTATTTTATAAACATTAAACAAATAATTATACGTTAGGGCTATATATGTCACTATTCTTGCATACATTATTTAGTAAAATAAAATCGTCAAAATCAAGATTTCCGTTATTGCTGGTTATAATACTACTTGGATGCCTTTATCATCGTTCTCATTGTCAAGTTTCGGAGGAGAACAAATCTATAGACAATTGTAAAATACACATAAAAATAGAAAATTAATTGTTTGATTTTGGTGTGATTATTATATCATATATTTTTAATAAATTAAACGCGATTTGAAATAAATAAAAAATTAATTATATCTATTAATAACAATAAAATTTACTGCCATTCTTTTATTCAGCTTAGTTGTCTTGCAACTGATGTTCATCTTTAACATGGTCATTGAAATAACTTCTGACAGCAACAGATATGCTTCTGTGACAAATATTACACTCTACTTCAAAATCATAATCATCTTTTGGCATGTAAGTACTTCCACATAAGCAATCTTGAAAAATATGTTTTTTTTTAATGCGAGCGTAAGTCATCTCCAAAACTTCCAGATAAAATTAAAACGTTCCTGTCATAAATAATGCATTTCAGGCCAATGAATTGAAATATTTAAAATATATTCTTTATAATCCATGTAGACTTACCAAAGTTTAAAAATACTAATTTTTCATCAAAATTAAAAATTTTTTAGTAACATACACACTGTTCCGTTTCAAGTGATAAAATGCGTTCTGATGAATCAACTGTGTCGTCTGTTCTTGCGTATTTTTCAGTTGAATGTTCCATTTTTATATGATATTCCAGATGACTGGAAAGAGAAAGAGATAATTT